CTACCACCTCCACCCCCACCCTCACCCCCACCTCACCCAACACCCACCCACACACACTCACACACACACCTCCAGGACTCTATCGTCGAGTGGCTGGACGGCCTGCTGTCCGGCAAGGTGCGCACGGCGCCGCTGCAGCGGGTGCCCACCTACCCGGCCGCCGACGCGGCGGGCGGCGGCGGCGGCGGAGGAGGCGAGGCGGAGGAGGTGGTGGAGGAGGAGGAGTTTGACCTGAGCGACATCATGAATGTGAGGAGGGGCGGGGTGGGCTGGTGTGGTGTGGTGTGTGCCGTTTGTGTTGGGTGTGTGTTGGGTGAGGTGGGGGTGAGGGTGGGGGTGGAGGTGGCAGTAGCACACAAGTGATATGATCCCACCTGGCTCTGCAGGAGGAGATTGAGGGCGACCTGTCCAAGTCTGGCCGCAAGGATGAGCTATGACTCGACCCCCCCCCAGCCTGGGAGGCAGCCCCCAGGAATGGCAGCCTGCTATATAGCGGTGCATGGTATGGCGCGGACGCCCCGGGCCGGGGGCAGGCGTGGCTGGCTGGACTCCAGTGCATCGGGTGTACTGGCAGCGGCGCCACTGCTGCTTGCAGCACCGCCAGCTTGCATGCCATGCCAGTGGCGGCGAGCCGTCGTATGTGATCTGATTGTGAATCGAATGATTTCGTGCATTGCTGTGGCAACACCTCGATACCAGGTTGCGCAGGCGTGCCTTGGCACACCAGGGCGGGAGTAGCAACAAGTAAGGAGACGGGGAGAAAACGGTAACAATACATAAGCAATCGGGGTTGCCAGCCGTGGCAACTCCTCTCACTATGCTGCTGCCGCTGCGTGCTGCAGCAGCGCCACCGCCGCCGCAGCCGCCGCCAGCAGCGCTGCCAGCAGCGCCAGCAGTGCCGCCGCTGCCGCTGCTCTCCGCTGCGGCATGGCCCGCTGCTGCTGTTCCGCGCCCGGCCCTCCCCTGCGCCGCTGCCGCCGCTGCTGCCGGCCGTGGCCCCTGTCGAGGAACCACTGCACTACTGGTTGGAAGTCGTGGTGCACGGGAGCATACCCCAGCTCCCGCCTCGCCTTAGCCACAGAGAACCAGTGGCTGCCCCCCGACTTGAGCACCTCGGTGCGTGTGAGCAGGAAGAGGCAGGAGAGGTCACAGAGGGGCCACAGCGCGGCGTGGGCCAGCTCCAGCGCCCAGGCCACGTAGTAGGCGAGCACGAGCGGTACCGCCAGCCGCGGCATGGGATACCCCAGCCCCGTCACCAGCGGCTCCAGAAACACAAAGTTGTTCACGCAGCTCGTCTTGCCCGGCCAGTCATCATGGATGAAGTAAGCCTGCGGCAACCGACGAAAAGAGGGGGAGGCCGGGGTGGGGCAGCAGCAAGCGCCACCAGCATTGAGGGGCAACGCTGCATACACTCTGTTGAAGCCTGTGCAGCAGCACGCAGTGCAGCAGGCCGGCGCACAGCCACGGTCCTGCCGAGGCTGCGGCGGCCCCGCAGCATGGCAGCACGGAGCAGCCATGGCGGCGGAAGAGGCCACCCGGTGCAGGGCCAGCCAGCGCACCTGGCCCGCCGCCACGTGGTGCCTCTCTGCGGTCAGGCCATCTGCTGCCAGCACGCAGGCCTGCACCAGGTTGTCCACCTGCGTGCGGAGCAGGGAGCGGCAGGGTGGGGGCGGGGTAGTGAAGGGAGCGCAAGGGCAAGGAAGGGCAAGGAAGGGCAACGGCGGCAGCAGAAGTGAAGTGCAGCACAGCACAGCACGGCACGGCACGAAACAGCGCAGCAAGGCACGGCACGACACAGCACAGCGCGGCATGTCAGCGCGGCGCGGCAGGCCGCCCACATGCACCCAGTCCACGATCCCCTCCTGCGGCCCTCCGATCACAAAGCTGAACAAGCCCTGCTCTAGGTAGCGCACGCTGCAGCAAGCGGAGGAGCAGGGCAGGGAGAAAGGAGAGGTTAAAGAAAGCCGAGCTAAAAGCAGGGAGAGGGCAAGAGGGGTCAGCGTCCGTCAGCGCTTGGCGCAAGGAGCGGCCGGCCACGCAGGCGGCAGCGTGTGGCGCCGCCGCAGGCGGCCGGCACCGATGCCCGCCTGCAGCCCATGCTGTGGTCAGGCCCTGCCCAGCCCAGCCCCTGCCCAGCAGCCAGCCGCTCCCCCATCCCACCCCCGCCTCACATGCGCGGCAGGTGGCGCTGCTCTCCCGGCCCGTAGATCCCCGCCGGCCGCACCGAGCAGGTGCGCAGGCGGCGCCCGGGGCGCCCCGGCAGCGGCGTGCCGTCGGCCGCAAGCACCGCCTGCTCCGCCGCCGCCTTGGTGCGGGAGTAGGCGTCGATGTGGTGGCGGGGAGGAAAGTAGGGCAACGACTCGTCGCCGCCCTCTATGGGCTGCCCGCCGTACACCACATTAACTGTGGAGAGGTACACGATGCGCGGCACGCCCGCGGCGGCGGCGGCGGCCAGCACGGCCGCCGTGCCGCCCACGTTCACGTCCTCCACCAGCCGCCGCTGCAGCTGCTGCGCGCCGCTCATGCCGTAGGAGGCCAGGTGGAAGACCACGGCGGCGCCGCAGAAGTGGTCCTCCAGGGCTGCAGCGCAGGCGTGGAGGCTTTATGCTTGGATGGGGCCGGGGGGCAGAGAGGGAGGCAGGGAGGAGGCGGGTGCCACGACGCCTGCTGCCGCTTGCCGGCCGGTCGGCCGCAGCATCCCAGGCCGCGGCCAATTGGTGGCCCCTTCTGGCGCTCGAGGCCCCCAGCGCTGAGCCAGCCTCACTTTTGGCGTCTCGCACATCTGCGCGAGCAAAGGACAGGCGGCCGGCGGCGGGGAGCGGGTCGCCGCCCGGCGGCAGCAGGTCCAGCAGAAGCACTCGGTCGTAGCCCGCCTCCAGCAGCGCGCGGCCCAGCCTGCATCGCGCAGCGAAGATGTGAGCGGGGAGCTCCTCTTCCGCGCTGCAAGAGCGCGCAAGAGGGAGCGACACACACCTGTGGCCGACGTAACCGCCTCCCCCGGTCACGCACGCCTTCATGTCAACGCCAAGCAAACCGCAAACCCAAAGCTGGGGTCTTAGAGGGCCGCTGGGAGTACGGTTCTGTGTACCGCCGCCACCCCGCCGCCGCCCCAGCAAACGCTGCTTGCTCTGCGCCAAGCTCCCCCTCCCCTTCTAGCTCCTCATTCTAGCGTCTCATTCTGCTTTTTACAGCTACGATTACATGAAGCCACCGCGAAATGCAGCTCTCTCTCTCTGCCCGCCATAGGAGCCAAGCACCAATCTCCAGCCGCCTGTCTTGCCCCCCGCCTGGCCGCGGCCGCGGCCGCGCTGCAGCGCAGCCTCAGTACGCCACGCTCCAGCGTGTCAGCTGGAGCTCGGGGGGACCCTCCTCGATGACAGGGATGTTGTGGGCGCTGTGCCGCTGCACGCCGCCCACCCCGCGGGACTGCTGGTACAGCTGCTCGCCGGCGGCCCAGGCGGCGGCGCCGTCGGCGGCCGCGCCGCCGCTGGCCTCCCGACCCATCTCCTGAAGCACGGCACGGCAGGATGCGGCACGGTGCGCGGTGGGTGGTGCGCGGGAAGTGGGAGGCAGGGAGGGCAGGCAGGCAGGCACACCGGGCAGGGCGGCAAGAACAGCAACAGGCCCGGCTGCTGTGGTCGCCCGGCCTGCCGCTGTGACCCTCCCAGCTGAGCGCCATGCTCTGGGCGCTCAGCCCGGGCGCTCAGCCTGGGCGTCCAGCCCTCAGCCTGGCGGCACCCCTGCGGCCGCGCCTCACCTGTCGGCTGGGAGGGGAGTAGCGGGCCCAGCCCAGCCCCGTGCCCATGCTGTCCTCCGATACCACGCTGCTACTGGCCACAGACGTGCGGTCCTGCAGCCGGGGGCGGCGGCGGGGCGCAGCTGAGGTGCGTGCCGAGGCGGACAGGGAGGCCCGGCACCGGCATGAGCGCCAGCGCCGCACCGGTTTCACACCCGCACCGCCACCGCCGCCACCAGCAAGGCAGCAAGGCAGCAGGGCACCACCCCCAAGCACCACCAGACAAGACGCATCAGCCATTGGCCGCACAAGTGCCACCACCCGCACCACCAGCCGCAGCAAGACACCAGCCCACCCTTCCGACCACCCTCATCCACCAGCACCCCGCCACCAGCAGCAGCAGGGCACCACCCTCACCCCAGCCCCGGGCCCCAGCCACTCACCAGCGCCACCGGCAGATCATCCTCGGACTCGTCGCCCTCCACATACACCGCCGCCGCGTCCGCAGCCTTTTGCTGCAGCGTGGCGGTGATGCCGTGCGTCGCCTGCTCCTCGTCACGCAGCTTGGCCTGCGTGGCCTTGCAGTCCCGCGCGCAGAAGGCCTGCGGAGGGGGAGAGGCGGGGGTTGAGCATGAACCTGTTCATTCACCCCTGCGTGGCGTGTGGACATGCATTCACACATGTGGGCGTGCGGTGGGGTGAGGAGGTGCACACGGGATGGCGGAGTGCGGTGCAAAGCGACGGCCGTTGGCACGGCGCCGCCGCGAAGGGGGCGCGGCGCTGCCGCCAGCAGCGAGGAGGGCTGTGGCGCAAGGCTAGGACGCCGCAGTACCGTGCGGTACCATGCAGCGGAGCAGTACCCTACCTTGGGCGGGCGCTTCAGCATGCGCTCCAGCATCTTCCTGCGCCCCGCCTTGGCCTCGTCGATGCCTGCAGGGCGGGGGGTGGCGCAGAAGGCAGGAGGGGGGCATGAGGCAGGCAGGCAGGCCACACCTCATACCAGCCCGGCAGTGGATCGGAGCCTAACACTTCCAGAACAGTCCCCGGAAAACATGCCGTGCCACAGCCATGTGGGGCGCTGCCGCCGCGGCTGGCGAGGCGGCGGAGACTGAGGGGAAGAGGTGGTGGGCAGGCAGGCAGGCAGGCAGGCAGGCAGGCAGGCAAAGCAACGCAAAGCGAAAAACAGGGGCGCGGCGAAGCCGCACCGGGGGCGGTCTTGAAGGAGTTGGGCAGCACGTCCAGGATGTGCATGCCGGGGCCGTCAATGCCGCGCAGCGCAAGCTCCCGAGCCTCCTGCGGGAGGGAAGAAAGCGCACGGGCACGGCACAGCAGGCGCCGGCAGCGAGCGGCAGGCAGTGCCTTTCCTTGCAGGCGCCGGGGGGGTGCCTGCTGCCTGCCAGCACAGCAACTCATAATGAGGCCACTGGCATCCGGCAAGCCATCCCTCTACACCGACCAGGCCCCGCGCACCTGATGCGCAGCGCAGTAGAAGCAGAAGAAGTGAACCTGCAGGGAGGGCCAGAGCAGCCAGGCAGGGTCCGTTTCATGGCATAATGTACCGGTGGCAGCAAGAGTCGCGCCACAAGCATGCCATCATGCTGGTCAGCCCATGCCAGCGGCGGGCTGCATGTCCCCACCAGGCAGTCGTCGATGCCCGGCGGCAGGCCAAAGGCGGGCGGCAGCTTGTAGCGGCTGCAGGAACAGGCGCGGCGCGGCACAGGCGGCGCTGGAGTGGCGCGAGCGGGCAAGCAGAGCCAGGCGGCAGCACCGCGCGAGCGGAGCGGCCAGGCCAGTGTTGTAAAGTGGGCATGCTGCTCTCGTTTGATTGTTTTGGTAGTAAAAAGGCCGAGGGTCCGGCCTCGCCGCCTCACCGGCGCATCCTCTCCCGCGCATGGCACGAGTACCAGGCGCTGCAGTTCATAATGAGGTTGGAGCCTGCAGGCCCGGTTCCAGGAAAGAAGCAGGTATGGCGAGGGTGGAGCAGGCTGGAGGGGGCGGGGGACGGGACATGGCCCGGAGGAGAGCGCGCAGCCGGCGGCGGCAGATGGGACAGGAGGTGCGCCACAGCCGGGGACAGGCTCCTGCGGCAGGCGGCGCTGCGGCAGCGGGCGGGCAGGCGGGCAGGCGGGCGTGGTCGGGGGGCGTACCGCAGCAGGTGATGGCCTGGCCGATGCCGCAGCTGAAGATGCAGCCCATGAGGAAGTACATGCAGCCTGCAGGACACGTTGGCAGCGCAGCAGTACAGCGTTCGGTGCTGTGCGCGCCTCCTGGTGGAGCTGCCGGCATGGGCTGCTCCCCCTGACTTTGCAATTAAACCAGCAAGCATTCTATGTTTATAGTTTTTTTGGTTTGTGCCTGCCGGTGTGTTTTCAAGGCGCTGGGCGAAAGCCTGTGCATCCAACCAAGCCGTCGAAGAGGGCCGACAGCAGCGATGCACTCACACAGCGCCTTGATGTCGCTCTTGTAGCCGTGCCGCCCGATGTTCCTCACCGGCATCACATACTCGCGGCCTGCGGTGCGCGGCACAGGCTGCAGCCTGCTGAGCAGCTGACTGGACACAGCGCTTGCAGTGAGCAGGATGGCAGCCCGGCAGGCTGGCAGGGTGGCAGCAACCAGGCTGGCAAGCTTCCAGCCAGCCAGCGGGCCCACCAGGCGCCCGTCCAGCCGCCATGCGGCACCCTCTCACCCAGGTTTGCTGCATAGATGGCGCGAGACCAGCGCATCTGGCGGTTGCCCGTCCAGTAACACTCCCGCACGGTGCTGCAGGAGGAGGAAAGGCAGGCATGTGGTGGGAGGGCAGTGCCAGCGAATGGCTAGCGTCAGGCATGAGCAGAGCAAGCGTTGGCGCAGCAAAGGGGGCGGCGCCGTCTCGCGTATGCGGCCGCGGTGGCGCAGCCACGGGGCCGGCAGCCTCACCGCCCGAAGCAGGCCCCCCGCCACTTGAGCGGATTCCACTTGAAGCTGTCCCAGCAGGGGATGTGCACGCTGTGCTTCACCGGCTTGTTCTTGTGGAACCTGGAGAGGGGGCGAGGGCGGAGGCGAGCAGAGGCGCTTGACCCCGCGACGAGGCAGCGCCTTTTCGCCTGCGGGCCTCCTCGGCGAACGCGTGGCAGCAGGCGTGTGCGAGCAGCCGCCATGGACCCTCCTGGAGCCTTTGCGCTGCCGGCACGCTCCCACTCCCCGCCTCTGCTGCGCCCGCCACCCACCACATCTCGCACAGACCCTCGGTCCACCGCCCCTCCTGCACCACAGGCTCATACAGCTCATAGATCTTCTGCAGAGGCTCGGGTGCCGAGTCCCGGAAGTCTGCAGCAGCAGGGGCGGCTTGGGGAAGCTAGGCTCAGCTGGTGGGCGTTGTTCAGCAGGGCAAGGCGAAGCGGTGGGGGCTGCGGTAGGTTGGTGATCTTTGCCGCGGCTGCACGACCCTCCCAGGCGCTGCGCAGCCGGGGCTCTTGGCCTGGCGGGCTCACCAGAGTGCCGTGGCGGCCAGTAGTTGCGCTGCTCGTCGGTGGCCCCCCAGCTGGTGCACCAGTTGCCGCAGAACACGCGGTCGCAGCTGGTGGAGATGGCGGCGCCCATGCCAGGCTGCCGTGGGAGACGAGTGGTGGTGGCGGCGCGGCGGGCGGGCGATCAGGTAGGGCGCGGGGAGGGCTGCAGGCGTCCCGGAGCTGGTGGCGCTTATATATCACAGAGATGAGGGCCTTGCGGTCAGGAATGAAGCGCAATGACGTGAGCCGCGCACGGTCTGTGGCGAGCCCGGCCGCCGGTGCAGCTGCCGACGCTCCCTGTGCCGTATGCGGCACGCACAAACGACGATGGCGTGCGTAAGGCTGGCTGGAGAGCTACTTGTTTGTTTCCCAGATCAGCCGCAGCACACGCCTCATGCCAGATCGCCTGTGGGCATTTCACCAGTTTAGGGGCCTCGCAGATACATCCCAGCGTCGTGTGAGCACCCCTCGATACCAGACCAAGAGTCGAAAGCAAAAGCAGACAGCAGTTCACGCCAGTCCATCGCTTGAGCTCCATCCCCCAGCATCTGGCATTGCTATCGCCTCACAACATTGCCTGCTACCGGATTGCTGCTCCCGAGAACCCCGGGCAGATGGGCACCCCCTGAACACAGGCTGGGCACTACCGGACCCCAGCAGCCTGGACGCAGCCATGAGTCAGCGGGCGAGGCAGGCCGACGGCCGGCAGCAGGCGGCAGCCGCCCTGGCTGCTGCCGGCAGCGGCGGCGCCCCCGCGCCCGACGGACCGCCGCCCGCCCGCGCCGGCAGCTACCGCCCGCCCAACGCCTCGATGCGGGCCAAGCATCGCGTGGCTCCAGCGTACACGGCCGACAGGTGCGCAGGCAGGGCAGGGCAGACTGCTGGCTGGCTGCCGAGCCTGCCGCCGTTCCGCGTGCCCCGGCACCCGCTGTCGTTGCAATCCCAGCGGGGGTGGTGCCCCACCCACACACGCGCTCCCTAGCCGCCCCTTGCTTCCTCCCTGCTCCCTGCCCGCCTCTCCAGGTTTGAGAAAGAGGTGCTGGGGGGGCGGCTGTGGCACGCGCCCTGCCAGGAAGCTTCCCACGACATCAGCGAGCAGATACCGCTCTCCTTCCCCTCCAGTGAGCGCCCGCCCCGCCGCCGCATGGCCAGCCGCCTAGGCCCCCTCAGGCGCGGCAATCGGCCGCACACACGTGTTCCCCGCTCTTCCCTCGCCGCCCCCCAGCTTTTCCAGCTGCCGCTGGCTGCTGACCGTCCCGCCGGCGCCCGCTGCTGCCAGCCACGGCCTCGCCCCGACCTCACTCTTGCCTCCTTGCCTTCCTTTCTTTTCTTTCTTTCCACCTGCGCTGCAGTGGACGATTATGTGTGCACCTTTGAGCCGCTGGTGCTGGAGGAGGCGCGGGAGGGGCTGAAAGCTGACTGGGCAGAGAGCTGCGCGGCCGGGGGGCGCGGCTGGGCCGTGGAGGTGGCCAGGTGAGGCCTGGGGGCGGCGTTTTTCACCGCCTTCTGACCGAACAAGGTCGTTTGCATTGTTGCTGGGAGCAGCAGTCAGGGAGAACGGTTAGGTGGCTGCGGGAGAGAGGGTGCACGAGAGCAAGGCGTGTTCGGGGGGCGGCGGCAGCGAGGGAGGAGGCTGCATGGCCGCTCAGCCTGCCTCCACCTTGGCTTGCGCAGCTGCCCCGGGCAGCCCGGCTGAGCCGCTGCGCCTCCCGGCTGCTGACGCGCCCTGGTGCCGCGCCCTGCCGCCGCAGCGTGGAGGAGACGGCAGACGGTTGGTGCATGCTGCGGGTGCGGGCGCTGGCGGGGCACGGCGACATGAAGCGGGCCTGCCAGCCCAACTCAGGTGGGGCACGTCGCTGCCGCGGCAGCGAAGAGCCGGCTGCCGCCTGCTAGGGCGGCGGCTGGGCTCCGCACCGCATGCCGCGCTGCATTGTTTTCGATGTGCTTGCTGCCGGCGAGGCAGCTTTTGCGGTGGTGGTGGTGTGTGATGGTGGGGATAACGTGGTGGGCCGCTCGTCTGTCTCTGCCTGCTGCCCCGGCCTCACACCTGGAACTTGCCGCTGCCTGCCCCGCAGTGGCGGTTCTGACCGACGGCCGACCGCCGCCCCGCGGAGCCATAGAGTGGGTGCAGGCGCAGGTGGCCGGCAGCGGCGGCCGCGGCGCCAAGCGGCAGCGGCTGGACGCGGTTGCGGCGGCGGCGGCGGCGGCCGCAGACGCGGAGGGGCCTGCTGCTTCAGTGGACAGCAGCGGCGGCAATGGCGGGCAGGACGGCGACGAGGCCGCAGACAGCTCGGCGGCGGCGGCAGGCGCAGGGGCTGGGTGGGCGAGCAGCCGGGTGGGGACGCCGGGCCCGGGGGAGGCGCCGGCCGTGGCGGGGCGGGTGGTGGCGGGTATGGTGCGGCGAGGCAAGGAAGACGAGCTGGTGATGCAGGTGGGATATGCTTGATAGGCTTGCTTGGCAGCCGCGGGACTCCCTCTATGCTCCCGCCAGCCACCACCACCACCGCCCCTGACCGACTGTCCCGCTGCCCTGCCCTGCCCTGCTCCCTCTCTCTTTCCCTCCCTTGCCCCACCCCCCGCCCGGCAGATCCACCCCGCCTGCGCCGCCCACGCCCACGACCGCGCCGCCTGCTGCTGGGCGGCGGTGGCGGCGCTGCAGCGGTCTGCTGCCGCGGCCGGCGGCGCCGCCAAGCGCTGGTGGTTGGTGCCGGCCAGGTCACTGATCAGTAGCGTGAGCGGGGCAGGGGCAGGGGTGTGTGTGTGGGGGGGGGGGGGCACCCTCTGGCCAACCCTGCCTGTGTTTGTGGCTGCGACTCGGCAGCTGCCTGCGGCGCATGCCTGTCGGCATCCCTCTTCTCACGGCCTGCACACCAGCCGCACCACGCCACGCCACGCCACGCCACACTCACTCACACACTCCCCTCCCTGCCCCGCAGCAACGCGAGTTTGACGCGGTGCACCGCGTGCGCGCCATCGAGCGCTCCCTGCTGCGCTTCCTGCTCCGCCCGCAGCTGCTGGCGCCCATTGGAGAGTACTATGACAACCCGGTGGGTGCCTGCTTTCTTTCTTCTTGGTTGGGTGTTTGTTTGTTGCGAGGTGGGGAGGCTGGGAGTGCTGCGGATGGGTGGGGTGGCGGCGGCAGCGGGCAATCGGGTGTGGCTGAGATGTGCGGATGCGGTGCCCATGCTGCCGACAAAGCGGCCGGCCCCTCGGCCCCGCCCCTGCCTGCGCGCGGCTGCAGGAGGTGCGGCGCAGCCTGTGGCCGGAGCAGGCGGCGCAGCCTGCCTTCATCGACTACCTGCGGCAGCGGTACGACGAGACGCAGCTGGAGGCGATAGAGGTGGGCGGTACCGGTACCGCTGTGCCCGCCTGGCACCGACGTCGCGCTCCCGTGCCGCCGCCGCCTCGCTGCTGTCGTTGCAAATGTCTTTCGGCGCTTGGGCCTGTGCCATTGGCTGGCAGGCAGGGCCGCGCTCTGGTGAGCTTCCCCACCGCACCCCCCACCGAACTCACCCCCACCACACCCACACACCGACACCCACACACGCAGATGGCGGCCTGCCACCTGGGCGCCCCCGACTCGGCCGACGGCGGCGGCGGCCACCCGCTGCTGCCCTTTGTGCTGATCCAGGGCCCGCCGGGCACCGGCAAGACCCACACCACTAAGGTGCGGCGCGGTGTGTGCTGGTTCGCCGCTGCGTGCCGGTTAGCCGGCCGCCTGCTGTCCTGCGCTCCCGCAGCGCGCTCCACCCTCCACCCTCCCACCACACGGCCAGCCACACCTCCCGTCCCCATGCCCCACCACCCCGCGCTCCCCTCCAGGGCATGCTCAACGTGTGGCACCTGGTGGCCTATCAGCGGTACTGTGACGGCCTGATCGCCGCCACCACCCCACCCGCCGCCGCCGCGCTCTCTGGGGGTGCGGCGGCGGCGGCGGCGGCCCGCCGGCAGCAGCTGGCAGACCTCAACGCCGCCGGTACCAACATCCTGGATGTGAGGCGGGGGCGGGGCGCCTCGGGCCGTCGTGCTGTGCCAGTGATGGGTGGCGCTGCGGGGTGGGCTGTGGTGTTTGCTGCCTGCGGGGGCCAGCCAGCCTCGTGTGTGCGACGGGGCTGACAGGGTATGCTGTGTGCGGCGCCTGTGTGCTGTGTCTGCATGCTGTATACCTGCCCCCATGTGTGCGGCCTGTACCGACACATGTACCGACGCTGTACCGCAGGTTGTGTCCAGCAGCATGCTGTCGCACCTGGGGCGGGCCGTGGCGCAGGTGCGTCCTGCCAGCCGCCGATTGGCCATGCTGCCCTGCCACTGCCTCGGCCTCCCTTGCCCGGCTGTCCTGCCTGCTGGTATCCCTGGCAGCCTGATCGCCTCGCCCGCCTGCTGCACACTACAGCCCATGCTGGGCCGGCCTCCACTGCTGAACGCTGGTGCCTTGCCTCGGTGTCTCCCCCTCCTCCACCTGCCTGCTCCACCCCTGCCTGCCCCTGCAGACCAAGCCCCGCATCCTGGTGTGCACCCCCTCCAACGCCGCCTGCGACGAGCTGCTGACACGGGTGATGACAGAGGGCTTTGCAGACGGCAGCGGTGAGGCGGCTGCCGGGCAGCTGCCGGGAAGCTGAGGGGCGCCACCTGCTGCACCCCCAAGCGTAGCGAGCCTACTGCCCGCTGCTGCCTCTTACAGCACTGCTGCTGCATGGACTGCAAGTACCGGCTGTACCACCTGCATGTACTGCCCGAACTGCATGTACTGCCCCGCAGGCCGGGTGTACCGCCCCAACGTCGTGCGCGTGGGCAGCGAGCAGGGCGGCGTGAATGCCGCGGTCAGGGACCGGCTGGTGAGGCGGGGTGGGAGGTTTGGACGGGCTGGGTAGCCGGGGCCTGGGAGCAGAGTGCTTGGCTTGCCCAGGGCTGGGTGCCTGTGCTGCCCCGGTGCCCGCACGCGCCCGCGGGGCCCGGCACCCGCCCAGCCGACCCCACCCACCCACCCACTTGTTTTCCCAACCCGCTTGTTTCCTCACCCGGGCAGGTGGGCCTGATGGTGGATCGCTACCGCACCATGAGCCAGGGAGACTGGCAGCGCAGGTGGGGTGGGGGAGGCGGGCTGCTGCTGCTGGTGGTGCCGTGCTGTACATTCCTCCCCCTCCCTTCGTGTCGCCCCTGCCTCCCTTGCCTGCATTTGGGATTCGTGTGTGATAAGGCGGGGCGTTCCATTTTCCCTGGTTCCCTGTGCAGGTTTGCCGACCTGCAGCAGCGCCACTCCCACGTCAGCCGGGAGCTGGAGGCCCTGGAGGTGTCTCTGGGGCGGGCGGCGCAGGCGGCGACGGCCGCCGCCGCCGCCGCAGCGCCCGCCGGCGAGCAGGCGGCGGCGCAGCAGCAGCACATGGAGCTGGCAAAGGTGCGCAGGGTGCCCGCTTTCTTCTTTCTTATCATTTCTCATCAAATGGTATTGACTTTGCAAGCCTGCCTCGCCTCACCTTGCCATTGCCTTGGGGTGGCCTGCCGCAAACCTCACGGCTGCGCTCCCCCAAGACACGGTTTGATCCTGCTGCCCGCCGCCCGTACCTCACCTTCCTGGTACCGCAGAAGCTGGTGGACCGCGCCCAGGCAGCCGCCCGCTTCCAGCAGGAGCTGGAGCGCCTGCAGCTGGCGCGGGACCTGGTGTGGGGGCGGCAGGGCCAGGAGTGGCGGCTGCGGGAGGTGAGCGGGCACACGGGGCCATAGGCAGGCAGGCAAACAGAGCAACAGGGTAACGGGGCGAGGGTAGGGTAGCAGCGTAGAGGCGCGTGGCCCTCCCCACCCTCCCCAAGCGCGCCGCCTGGCCGCCGCGCTGCCGTGCGCAGGCGGAGCAGAGCATCGAGGCCTCGTTCCTGTATGAGGCAGAGATGGTGTTCACCACGCTGAGCAGCACGCAGGTGGGGCGGGGTGTTTGTCTTTCGTGCGCCTCTGTACTTGTGTGTGTGTGTGTGCGGGTGTGTGCGTGCGTGTGCCTCCCTGCCTCCTGCCATGCACCACATCAACACCTTTCTTTTGTGTTTGTTCCTCACCCCACACCCGGTCGCCCGTCCCCTGCAGCGCAAAGTGTTCCAGCAGTCTGCCAGTAAGGCGCCGTTCCATACTGGTGGGCTGCGCGGCCCTGCAGCCGCCTGCCGCCGCTGCCGCCTGCGTGTGCTGTTCCTGCTGTGCGCCGCTCGCTGCCAGTCACCGCCGATCCACGCGCTGCGCGTGCCTGCCTGCCTGCTCGCCTGCCTTGCCTGCCTGCTCGCCGGCCTGCCCAGCTGCGTGAACACCTAGTGACTGGGGTGGGTCCTGCCCCCCTGCCTGCCCCCCTGCCTGCAGTGCTGATTGACGAGGCGGGGCAGTCGTCCGAGGTGGCGGCGCTGCAGCCGCTGGTGTTTGGGGCCAAGAGGTGGGGCGGGACACCCTGGGCAGGCTGCAGCTGGGCGCGGGATGGCGTTGGTGTTTAGGGTCTGGGTTTAGGGTCTGGGCGCTGCAGCCGCTGGTGTAAACAGCGCCAAGAGCTGGACGGCTTGCCTGGCTGTCGGGGCTTGGGCTCTCGACTTTTTTCGGCCTCTGGCTTGCGATTCTCCCGGACCTCCCCTGCAATGCCGCCGCGCCAGCTGCAATCTCTCCCTCCCGACCGCAAGCAACCCGTTACCTGCGCAGAGTGGTGCTCCTGGGGGACCCGCAGCAGCTGCCCGCCACCATCCTGTCTGAGCTGGCAAAGCAGGCAGGGCGTGCCGCCGCCGCCACGCGGGACCCCCGCCGGTGCACCCGCCCCGCCCCCTCCCTGCCGGGTGCTGCAGGCTTTGCCCGCCCGCCTGCCTGCCTGCCTGCCTGCCCCACCTAGCCAGCCGCCGCTACTCCCAAGCACACACGGGCACATGCACACAGCGCAGCCACCTGCCCCACCTCCCTTGCAGGTCCAGATGGAGCGCTCGCTGTTTGAGCGGCTCAAACAGCAGGGGGCGCCC